TCAGCAGTGCCACGTCAGCAGTGCCACGTCACAGCGCCAAGTCCTAGTACCACGTCAGCAGTGCCACGTCACAGTGCTAGATCAGCAGTGCCACGTTCGCAGTGCCAGATCAGCAGTGCCACGTCCGAAGTGCCAGGTCACATTGCCACGTCAGACATAGTGCCATGTAAGCAGTGCCACGTCAGACACAGTGCCACGTCAGCAGTGCCATGTCAGCAGTACCACGTCAGACGCAGTGCCACATCAGCAGTGCCACGTAAGCAGCAGTGCCACGTCAGCAACATGACGGGCCTGCCAGGCCAACTGGCCAATGAGACCATTGCTGCCTACAAGTAGCGTTGCCTGGCTCAGATAGAGGCCGAGGAACAACGCCTGTTGGCAGTCGAGGCTGCCCGCATACAAGCTGAAGAGGCAGCAGCAGCAGAGAAACTGCGGCTACAGGCCGATGCAGACGCAGATGCCCAGGCTCGCCGAAAGGGAGCCCAGGATCTGCTGCAGCGGCATGAAGCCAACAGCATCGACAGACTCAAGTACTGGCATTTTAAACCGAACGGAGACAACGCAACACCGGAAGAAAAGCACAAGGAGTTCCTCTCCAAACTCGTGACGCGGTTGTTGTATGCTTGCAACTACCAAAGGTCAGAGTTGGAGAGACAGCGCCGAGACCTGACGCAACAGCATCAGGAGTTGGCGACGCTCCGTCACACAGTGCAGAGCCACAAGGATGCACCTCGGGCACTCAATGCGCGATTGTTGGACCTGGAACAGGCTGTACCAGGACCAGCTGCTGGAGCTTCCAGCAGTGCACCCTCAARCCGCCAACTGGAGGACCGCGTTGACCACGTAGTGGCAATGCTCGGCGACATCAGCACCTTCGCTGCGCCGACCACCACCATCGGCAATCAGCTGCATACATTGAAGATCGAGGTCGAGAAGCTGCAGTCGACAAACGCGGACGACAATCCGAAGATGTACAAGATGCCAACTTTCAACTTGGAGAGGTTCGATGACTACACGCAGCAGGATCCTGTCCTCTGGTGGGAAGCATTCACAACGCAACTCAGGATTATGCCAGTAGCCAAGCACGCGTACATTGGCGCCTTGTTCCTGAACTCAAAGGGCGGATGCCAGACCTGGTTGAGCCACCTGTCAACCCACGGCGTCCACGTACCAGACTTGAAGGACGTAATCACATGGGAGGAATTGACACGGCTGTGGAAGAAGCGGTTCATCGTCGACGACGCGTCGGCACTCGCCATCAACCGTTTGTTCACCATGTAACAGGGCAACACATCAACACGGGATTGGCTCACGGAGTGGCAGAAGATTGCGGTTGTGCCCAATCTGAACCTACCATTCGAACATCTACGTCGTGAGTTCTACAACAGGTCCTGTGCGGCATTGAGCCAGGCTCTTGGTGATCGCGAGCAGTACTCAACCTTCGGAGATCATTGACAAAGCGAGGGAGATCATCAAGACCAACAGGTCAGCTGCACACGAGAAATCAACATCATGGCAGCCGACCTATGTGGAGAAGGTACGAACTGGTCCGCGACAGCAGCACTTCGCTGCAGTCCAGGAGGACAGTGGAAATAACCCCGCAGCCACTCCAATATCAAGTTACGGAGATCAGGTGGCCGCTGTCCAACCGCGAAGCACCAACAAGTCCCACAACAATGGGAAGGCGAAATCCGCATCGCAGGTCGGAAATGGACAGCCAGGACAGTTTCCATGGGTCAAGTTTGGCTTAACCGAGGCCGAGTACAAGATCCGCGGCTGCTATGGTAGCTGCTATTGGTGCAACAACACCAAGCACAAGACCTCCCTGTGCCAAGATCAGGGCAAGGACGTGCGACCCCGCCTCAACTCGGGAAACTGAGCTCCGCGGAAGGTGAGGCGACTCCACCTTTTACTCCGCCAGATTCGGCCGCCTTGCTAGCGGCCTCCTGCACATCTGCGGAGGATGCGAATGTCGCAAGTCCTCGGTATACTTACGAGGATTATGCTGACCACTTGGTTCCACTGTTGGACCAATGGCTCCACGTGCAACAGCCCACCGCATGCACGGTTTCATCACCATCGGCAACCGATTTGGCAGCTTCGCCGCAACCTATCACCGAGGATTCGACGTCATGGTCAAGACTTGATGAGCTCGATCCGTTGACGTTCACGGACTTCCAGTGGATGCCCGTTCCCTCGACCGAACGATTGCCGAAACCGCATTGCAACGTGCTTATGGCACAATTGGGAGATTACTTGCACACTGCAGTACCAGCTCCGTTGATGGACGCCGGAGCAGAGGTTGTCGACCTTCACGCTTTCATCGCGAAGATCGACCGCGAGTTCAAGACGCAAAGGTACGACGACATCGASGCACCATYGCTATACATACGCATTCAGATCGGAGAGGCGACYTGCAGTGCCTTGATCGATTGCGGAGCATCTCGCAACTACATCAKCCAGGACTTCATGGTACGCGYYGGCCTTGGCCCACGTGTYCGGAGGAAGTCCCAGCCTACGCAAGTCACTCTGGCAGACAGTCATACGCACAAGTCCATCGACCGATGCATTGACGTCGTCCCAGTGTACTTTGCCCCCCACGCAAGTGAGGCGGTGTCCTTCGACATTTTGGACACCCAATTCGACATGATCTTGGGCATGTCATGGCTGCGAAGCAACGAGCACCTTGTGAACTTCTTCAACCGCACCGTTCACGTTCGTGACCGGAACGGAGTATTAGTTCCATGCACGGTGCCTTTTCCTCATCCTTCGATCAACTGCCACGCGGTATCCGCCGCAAGCATGCGAGCTTCCATCATCAGAGACGACATCGAGGAGATGGGGGTGTGTTTTCTCCACGCCCTCCCGCCACATGACGCTTCATCGACGGACTCACCTTCGGATCCACGCATCACCGAACTTCTCGATGCCTACAGTGACGTGTTCAAAGGCCCGCATGTAGTACCAGATCGACCCATCCGCCACGAGATCATCCTTGAGGACGGGGCCGTACCTCCGCGCGGTTGCATCTACCGAATGAGCGAGGAAGAGTTAAGTGTGCTTCGGGCACAACTCGACGACCTTCTAGGGAAAGGCTGGATTCGGCCTAGCTCATCGCCATACGGTGSYCCTGTTCTCTTCKTCCGGAARAAGAACAAGGATTTGCGGTTGTGCATCGATTATCGCAAGCTCAACGCGCAGACGATCAGGAACGTCGGCCCTCTCCCACGCATCGACGACCTTCTCGAGCSATTGGGCGGCGCCCRGTTCTTCTCTAAGTTGGATCTCAAGTCAGGGTACCACCAACTCGAGRTTCGCAAGGAGGATCGCTACAAGACCGCGTTYAAGACTCGGTATGGGCATTTCGAATGGCTGGTCATGCCATTTGGCCTTACGAATGCCCCAGCCACTTTCCAAGCGGCTATGACGACGGAGTTCCGACACATGCTGGACCGTTTCGTACTTATATACCTCGACGACATTCTGRTTTAYAGCCGGAGTCTGGACGAGYATGTGGAACACCTGCGCACCGTTTTGGAGCGGCTACGACAGRCCAAGTACAAAGCAAWCCGCGACAAGTSCGAGTTCGCACARCAGGAGCTGGAGTACTTGGGACACTATGTGACGCCTCAAGGCATCCGTCCGCTTGCGGACAAGATCGAGGCCCTACGAGTATGGCCCGAGCCCACCAACACCACGGACGTTCGTTCATTCATGGGGTTGGCGGGCTACTATCAACGATTCATCACCGGATACTCCAGGATTGTTGCACCTATGACGAGGTTACAGTCGCCAAAGGTGCCATTCGTATTCGATGACGACGCACGCCGGTCATTCCAAACACTTAAGACGGCTATGCTCATGGCACCCGTCCTTAGCATTTATGACCCCACCCTGTCGACACGAGTGACTACGGACGCTTCCGACTATGGCATTGGGGCAGTCTTGGAACAGCTCGACGGCGACGATTGGCACCCTGTGGAGTATTTCAGCCACAAAGTGCCTCCCATCAACTCGCTTGATGATGCAAGGAACGAGCTGCTCGCATTCGTGATGGCTCTCAAACGCTGGCGGCACTTCCTCCTTGGGCGTCGTAGGTTCACATGGGTTACGGACAACAATCCATTGACCTACTACAAGACGCAGGATACGGTGAGCAGCACAATCGGACGATGGATGTACTTCATCGACCAATTTGACTTCACACCAAAGCATGTCTCCGGCCTTTCCAATCGCGCAGCAGATGCACTCTCGCGAAGATCGGATCTTTGCGCTATGACACATCATGCCTTCGCATTCGACGAGGAGATTCAGTGACACTTCATCCGGGCATATCAGTCTGATCCGGACTTCGGCACGCTCTATGCACAGCTATCTTCGGATCACCCGCCGGCCAGCCATTACCGCATTGCCGACGGGTACTTGCTCCTCCACTCGAGAGGCAAGGACTTACTATGTGTCCCACGCGATCGTCGTCTTCGGACTCGCCTCCTCGGCGAGTACCATGATTCACGACTCGCCGGCCATTTCGGAGTCAACCGCGCTATTGCACGACTTCGACAGCGATTTCGATGGCCCGACCTCATTACCGATGTCACTCGGTATTGCGACTGTGAAGTTTGCCGACGCAGCAAGCCCCGCAACCGCAATCCCTACGGCGAGTTACACCCGATGCCTATCCCACGGGAACCCGGTCTCTCCATTGCCATGGACGTCACCGGTCCGTTTCCTCGCGACCGGCTCGGGCATGATGGCATCCTCATGTTTGTGGACCGATTGAGTATGTACGCGCGTTTTCTCCCTTGCAAGTACTACTCCACGGCTCCCGAGCTGGCACGCCTCCTGCACACTGGTTGGATTTGTGGCCACGGTGTACCAGAAGACATTGTCAGCGACCGCGACACTCGTTTCATGTCGGCGTTTTGGACTGCTCTCATGCAGGAGTCCGRCACAACAATGAAACCAAGTTCGGCTCGACACCCTCAGACAGACGAGCAGACGGAGCGGGCACATCAGACCGCTCAAATGATGCTTCGTACGCTCATCCGTCCGGACCAGAAAGATTGGGTTGACCGCCTCCCCGACATCGAGTTCGCCTACAACACTTCGGTGCATCCGGCGATTGGCGTGACTCCATTAGAGTTGTACCACGGTGGACGGAAAGGCCGGATCTTCGCCGACCTTTTCCTCCCTCGACCAGCCGACATTGACGCTGCCTGCTCTCCCTCTTCCGTCCGGAAGTACAGGGAGTTGCTGACTCAAGCCTGCGCAAATATGCAAAAGGCTCGAGTCCGCATGCAGCAGCAAGCCAACAGGCGTCGCGTACCATGTCCCATCCGCGCCGGTGATCAGGTTTGGGTCTTCGCGGAAGAGTTTGCACTGGAACAGGATGTTTCACGCAAACTGCTTCCCAAGTGGTTTGGACCTTGGTCTGTGACAGCAGCCGCGGGCGATGAGCCCGATGGCCCTTCATTTGTAATCAACATTCCAGAGCATCTGACGGTCCATCCGGTCTTCCACGCCTCGAAGCTGGCAACTTAYACGCCAGCCAAGAGCGACGACTTTCCGGACCGACGATCGCAGGACCCTCCTTCTATGGATGGCCATCAGGAAGTTGACCGCGTCATCTCCGATCGCAAGTACGGCAGCAAGYCGCGGCAGTATAAAGTCACATTCAAAGCATGCGATCGCGACGATACTCGGTGGATATCAGGCGCAGATTTGAAAGCATCCGCACCGCTGATCTACGCGCATTATGAAAAGCGCAGGTTAGCTCAGGAAGCTTCACGACCAGCCCCTCCCACCCGGACTGTGGTCCCTCCCTCCGACAGACAGCTTCGCCCTCGCAGGTAAGCTCGGTTCTTCAAGGAAGGGGGGGTGTGGCATACTGCGTAGCCACATGGGCCCTACAGGGCCCGTCCCGGACATTCAGCCTAAAAGCCTAAAACTTAGGGCTTACAGGCCCCGTTCATTTCAGCCTGGATGCTGAAAAACGAGGGCCTGCAGGCCCTACCTCGTTTCAGCCTATTTCTGGGTCTTTTCAGACCCAGAGTTTTCAGCCTGRAACGGAGGGCCATTTTCAGGCCCTCATTGTTTCGACCTKCTCCTAAGWCTCAGGCACGGAAACAGGGATGCGGAACAGGCCAAARATAGCCTGTTSCTCACGTACTYGAGCAGGAGCTGCAGCTGCAGCCCCTGCCTCCCTTCGGCAGGCTCAAGAGGCACACCCGTAGTACATAGTAGGTGCCCATGCACTTCACGGGTAGGTAGTGTCAGTAGGCGGAGGTAGTCTTCAGGATTCGGCCGCAGCACTCAGGAGGAGCGCTGCAGTAGTCTTCAGCGCTAGGCAGTAGTGGTAGCGCTAGCTGTAGTCTTCGGCGCTGGGCGCCATAACTGTAGCTGTAGTCTTCAGCGCTGGGCGCTGGTAGGTAGTAGATCGTAGAGTGGGAGAGAGACTGGTGGAGGCCAGTGTTACTTACCTGTGGCGCCATCGCTCCAGCTCCATCTTCGTGGTACCTGCATCAAGGCGCCAACTTCAGGTTAGTACTGGACACAGAGAGAGAGAGAGAGTTCTTCTTCTTCCTCTTCTAAGTCCACCTTCTCTTCTCACCCTCTTGCCACCTGACTTCTCAGACTACGATAGAGAGAGACAGAGTTGTGACTTGAGACTTGACGGCATTTGATCCAGACTTGAGATTTGGGATGCAGACAGTTCGACGAGGGACTATTTGGGCTTGTGCCGAAGACTTGGTGTTGACGACATTCCCATCTTCCCCCTCCTCTTCGTCTATCCCCTTCCTCCTCGTCTGTGCATGTTCTGGGCTGGCGCTGTCTTCCTATGTGAAGCGCCAGACCCATTCACACTATGAAACGAYGATGATGATGTATGTTCAGGGCTGCATTACAACATTGATTGTTYGGATCACTGGTATCTAAGTCTTCCGCTGTGCTATCTTATACTTTGTATTGAAAGGTCGGTTCTTGTTCTGGTCTGCACCTATACGGTATGCAACACCTCTTCTCCCTCTTGTCCCTCTCTGCCCACGGTTTTACCAGGCATCTGTGTTTGACAGAGATGACAGAGCTGCCCGGTAGACCGTAGGCAGAGAGGGAGGAGAGGACAACAAACGAGGGGCTTTGTTATATCGAGTGATAGTCTGCTATGACTTTTGCCACAGGTACCTTGAGGGCAGTGGTTGGTGGTCCCCACCACCTCAGGGTATCAGTTGTGGGGCAGTCGTTTATGCTTAACCACAGCCGGGGTTAAGGTGGATTATCACTTACAGTGTAATCAGCTTGGTAGGGGATTCTGCAGACTGTTTGTTGAGGGTTCAGCCTCCTGATGAGTCCGTGAAACTCCGACGAAACAGTTTGCCAGAGCCCCTCGTTTGCTGTCCTCTTCTCCCTCTCTCTCTGCCTACGGTTTTACCAGGCAGCTCTGTTTGACTATGTATTTATACTATTTGACGATATATATATATATATTTTTCCCTTTTCGTTTTTTTCCATTAATTTAATATCATGTGGCCTGATGGACCACGGAGCAGATAAGTTTCCAACCCTTTCCCACTGTCCCTTTTGGCGGGGAGGGTACCGAGGGCCACTTGTGCCCCCTGTGCGGATACGAGGGCCGTACAGCCTTCCCCCCCCGGCACACCAAGGGGGGCTGACAATCAATGTTGATTAGTGATTGCGGTCCTGGGCGAACGGCCAGTCCCTCGCATCCACCTCCCTGCCAACTGCTGTGTTTGTGGTCCCCTAAACCGTAAACCACTTAAATTTTCTGTGCTACCAGTTGTCAGGCAGTCCCGGGCGGAACGGCCAGTCCCTCGCATCCACCTCCCGATGAAACAGTTTGTCACAGCATTTTGGATGGGTCCGGATGCTCCAGATGATAATTGTTTGGATCGGTCCGGATTGAAAAAAAAAAAAAAAAAAAAAAAAAACCTAGCATGTTGAATGCAGTTTCATCGTATAAGCTTGACTTCAAGGGAAGTGTTCGAGGAAGACATAGCTGTGCTGGCATATGTGACAAACAAGAATGCTTTGCATGGCCACTGTGTTGCATGAGATTACATCTCTACTACTCCTTGACATGCACTGTGCTGCACAGTCATTGCAAAGCACAAACTGCTGCAAGGGGAAGTAAATAATGATGGAGCTTAATCCTCTAGAGAAAGATCAGAACTGCACTAGGGCTTCTTCCTGATGCAACACACTTAAAAGGTTTTGTTGTAGCTTGTTCCTAAAGAGACCTGCTCCTATAGAGTGACCACATCCTGATCTGTCCTCTTGTGAAACTAAGGGGATTTCTCTAGATTTCTAGTTTGTTCCCTGCTCCCATAGAGT